AACATTGTTAGTGTGCACTCCGGTTGTAGGGTCACAAAATGGCGCTTGTGTATAGCGACATGATGCACATAACCAAGTCTATGCAGCCATCTGCACGCTCTCCAATCGTCTGTATATATTGTAGTACCTGGCTGCGCATGTTCTCGTATAATTGGTATTATTGTCGTTGCCTGTCGGTTTCTCACTCTTTGGAAGTGTCCCTTTTGGGTTGACCTGTCGTAAATTCCAAGGACCTGTGAGGTATATTTATGGAAGTGCTACTTACCCAGTCTTCTTTAATACTACGTCCTCTGTTAAATTTTCGCTTCCTGACTACTGTTTTGTCTATTTGATTACCACAGTCACAGATAAAGGGACTTCTTAGTAGTCCCATTTGTTATAGCCGCTCACTTATCACGTCTTCTTTAAAATCCACTGTAAATCGACCGTACGTGAGCATCAGGTACTGAAATAGGCGCCGTGACCTTGAAATCCCCCTAACACTTCTGATTGGCTCGTCCATAAATTACCGTCTCGCCCACATGCTTTGAATCGAAACTATTTTGAAATTTTCTGTTCAAATTTAAGCCAAAGATCACATGAAATTATCTTCTTTCTTGAGAAATAAACTTTAGAAATCACTTAACACTACTGACACTATGAATTTAATTATCTAGAAGTTTTCTTTCCTGTCCAATTTTAATTAAATAAATATTTCATTTTGTATACCACTAAAAAACTGTATTAAACATCCATTTCTTCCTTCTTATCTACAGAATGTGGCAGAACGAGAAACAGGTCAATTAAAACGTACTTCTTTGCATGACAATTCCATTTATACAAGAAACAACAATAATAGTGTTACCAATAATAACAGTAACACTAATGAATCATTTAATTCAAGTCAAAAATCAACAAAGAAACGAAGATTATTTAGTATACAACAACAATGTGGATCACATAGGTCTGATGATACACATGAAAATATATCCCACAATTATGACAATCATCCTCATCATCATCGCCAACAACAACGCTTAGAACAACAATTATCTGATGATACTACGACATCAGATTATAATACTAGTACAACTAGTAATATTGGAACTGGGCATCGTTCTAGTACAAAAAATTGTATACAAAAGTGTGATTTCCATGAAAATATACAACAAAATCCAAATGAATTGATACGTGCTACACGAGAATTAAAGAAAAAACGTTTACGTTCTAAAGCAACTAAACTGGTTGTATTAGTCACTACATTATGGGGTGTATGTTGGCTACCAACACATATAATTAATTCATGGTTCTTTTTTGATGAAGCTAGTTTTCCATTTGTACCAGCGATGAAAATAGCAAAACTATTATCACAAACATTATCATTTGCTGCATCATGTGTAAATCCTGTTGTGTATAGTATATTGACTGGATCATTTAAAACAGCTTTGTCAAATCGTTTACTACGTTTTAGAAAGCGTAATAAACGAAATGATCATACAAAAACTGAAATATTATACATTACTGAATGAATAAGTTATATATTATTATTACACATAGACTATTATTACTGTTATGCATTATTGATGGTATTTAATATTTTTTATTACAGTTATTTAAGAGCAAAGATGTACAATTTCTGTACCACTGATAAACACAATATACAACTGATCAAATAAACATACATATATACAAATAAACAAACACATTAGAAACAAAATTTAAAGTTATCTAAAAAACAAATATCCAGTATAACTCTTTATTCAAAACACAATATTTCCAAATGTTCATCTAAAATAACCTCATATAAACTCTTTATTCCACTGTGTGTACATTTCACTTTTTAAAGCTTAGATCCAAAAACTAACATTTTCTTCATAAATGTTACTTATAATCTGTAATCAAAACAACTTTGTAAAATTCACTTGATATTCTTTACTTGAATCTTCCCATTGATGTTTAGGACTGCAATTGACCAGTCTTCTATTGGTAATATGTGCATACTGTGAGTATTGCTTTAATTCACAAGCAATATAAGTAAAGGTGGATAATGGCTAGCATCCGAATCCAGGACGAGTGTTTCGTCCCATTTGGGACTCGTCAGCTGGATGTACCTGCACCTCAGAGTTGATGTTCACTCTGTGACTCGAACCCAGTACCGTTCGCTTCAAACGCCGTCGCGTTATCCACTTAGCTACTGAGTAAAATGATAGCATATAATAAAACGTACAAGAGTAAACTATGAATAGTAATAAAAAATTTTAAACTCAGTTGTATGGCTTCTGCGTGCAAATTATTATGGTTAGTTCTGATAGGAAATACAACAGAATAAATTATATCCCATAAAATAAGATTATTTGAAATTTCTTTTCGCATTATAAATAATTTTTTAATTTAAAAAAGGAGTTTCTTCTCGATTTAAGTGAGTAGTTTATACAAGGTGAATCACATCTGTTTCGACGTGTGTTCAACAATACATAAATTGTAACAGTGTACTTGAAGGCTAGTTTCAGAGTGCAGTAGCGTTAGTATAACTAATAATCAATAAAGTAAGAGGGTTGCAAATAACTATTATTAACTGTTACACTGATACTAAAGTTCACAGTTATATAACATACCCTTATAGGCTATAGTAATTTTATATTGGTTTTCAGGATAACCGGACACCACCCAGACTTTCACGTGACAACCCAAACAGTACAGCTTAATACCGTTTCGCAGGAGAGCCAGACACCTCCCAGGCTCAACCCGAGCAGTGCAGCTCAGATACAGACACCATATAGGCTACAATCTGAATAGCACAGCTCAATCCTGTGGCGCAATCACACAGGTACCCAACACCCTGGTGGACCATTCGCATTATTCATACACACCACATATATTATTCCGATCATTGATTGCATGAATCAATTACGCACAGCACGAACAGGCCAAAGTTGACCTATTCGGCTTACACGACAATCAAACTCATTAATGTTAGCAATGGCAACATGCCTTAAAATGACCCAATGACAATGGCCCTTGAGAACACTGAGAAGTAACCACCAGTATAAATGAAATCGGTTAGTCAGCAAACCAATTTTGAGTATGAACAGTCAGCAAAACTTGCCAAAGTTGTTATATCCCAGTGAAGATTAAATTACAGGTAACTTCCGAGGACTATTAATGGACTAATATTCTATAAATATTCTCATTGTATAATTATTCAATAATTAGTTTATGTATATTTATATTTTTCTTATTATAAGCTTTAATTTAACCCATAGACTATTACTACATGATTTATCATTCTTGAGTTATGGCCTGTCTATTAATTACTATCTCCCTCATTCACAGCCACTTTTTGGCTCTTTTGTGTACACATATTATTTTCTATTTTATGGTACGTTGTGGTCTGTCTGGTTGATATATAAACCGAGTATGTTTGAAATAAATGATTCATATTGCAGAAGCTGGTATTGTGTTCTGGACTCAAGTGGACGGGCTAGGCGGACATAGGACCAATAAGGACGCTAGGCTGCTCATACCGGTCGAACGTCATTGGTTTGGCACAATGCTAAAATTGTATAAGTCGTATTTTGATTGGTGGATAAGTCACGTTATAAGAAGCCGGACATAAAATCATAACAAAAGTAATGCAGAACCACCCAGAATATCAATAGCGAACCTCCAGTCTCGTATGAGACCTTCAGCTCTACATAGCAATACTATCTCAAAAGTGACTAATCATGAAATGATCAATAATGATCTGCTATCATTTTTATTTTAAAAACGGCAATAGTTATTTATTTTGAAGACTACATTTGATAAATATCCACATGATTGTCTCAAGTTTTCTAATTTGTCTTAATAATAGTAAGTTGCTTATTTTTTGAGAATACCTGATGTCTAGACAGTTTCTTCTTTTTTCACATAATAACATACAAATTAAGTTGTTTCATATGGTTAATTAGCTTTTGCAAACTCAAGAATTAAGTTTAAAGTGAAACTGACACCTAAGATTATTATTGTGGTGTGTGCTACTTATGATTGTCGACATAAGTAGTATGTAACACCAATCAGAAGTGGAATGCTTGGCAGCAGAAAGTCGAGAAAATTTAAGTGGAAAAAAGGAGACTGGAAGCAATCAAGATAACAACACGAATCAAGGAACAATAAAACTTGTAAGAGACAATTTAAAGATCATCAAATAATGTATTCGATGTATGATTTTTACATTTCGCTAAACCACTGTGTGATTGTGCATTAAACAATAAACTGATCTTCCCACCTGAGCCTTAGTTCGCTACATGATGATGAGTAACTAAAAATAATCATCCTAACTATAAAGCCCACAAAAGAGGTTAGTAGTATATTGTGTATTTTAGTCACCAGTGTTTATAGCCAATAAACTAGAATAATGGGTCACCGAACATAATTGTTAAGAAGGATCCATAAACAGCTGTTACAGTAGTTTTTTCTCCACTTTATACAGAACATCTGGGAAGTATCGATCACTTAAATATCACAAATATACGTACATTTTACCAGGTTCAAATGCTATTGCTCCATTCACTTGCATTGAGTTTTATAGTTCTCTGTAGTCAGTGTTAACGGTATTACCAAAGAGATCCTTTAACCCTTCAAATAACTGCTAAAATTACAAAACGAAGCTTTTTAACACAATCAACGCAAAGTTGCCTAAGTGAAATTAAACTACGTGTTTATAAATTAAAATTGAATCTCGTGGACAGACGGTAAATGAACGCAATCTAGAACACTAACTAGTAATAGTTAATAAAAATAATCCCGATACAGATGAGATATACAGACTCATAGACAATTCAACTATGCAACGTTTGATGCACATATATTCGCACATAGATTTTATAAAACAAGTTGAAGAAATTCAATATCTAAGTTAGATGAGAACTTGTTAAATAGTCTATTTACGAAATAACTTGATATGATGTATACACGGACTTGCTCGCTGAAGTACTTAAAAGAAAATTTAGTAACTTTCATGTGAATAAAAAAGAATTAAATGGATACCTAAAATTATATTTTATGGTATGCGAAATATATTTATGTATATATACACTAAGTTCAGTAAAAGTCATGAAAATCAGATTATTCATACTGGATTAGATGCTCGACCAAGTCTAGAATGAACTGGAGCGTTAGACCTTCCTTGTCTGTTGCCTAAAACATAAAGAAAATTTAAGTAAAATATTGATGGGAAAAATTGTTCCTGTATAACTTGAAAAAATAGATTATGTACTGATCAAACTGTGTATATACATATACTAAAAATAATGAAACAGTTGTGTGATATTTTTCTCACTAAAAGGACTGACATTAGAATGATTTGATGAGTTAATTTTATGGTATCTGGACCTTCATGTAAAACTGAGAATGCAAACAACCATTCCTAGATGAAAATACCCAAATATCAAAATAATGCGCATATTTGTAGAGCATAAATATATTTCTACTGACAAACAAAGTATTGTGTATTTTACATATCGACTTTCATAAGGGAATTTCTTAAAAGCTATAAGAAAATGGCATATAGCTTTGTATACTTCAAGTCAGAAGAAATAGAAACTAAACTTGACTACTTATAAGTAGTCACATTGACAATCCTATAAAATATAGAGGAAGGCATTTTTATGGAGTTTTGTTCTCTGAGCTGAATGGTTTGTTCGTGGAGCTTTCATTGTCATTCTAAACGACATAATCGGCACGAAATTCAGGTAGAAGTAAAAATCATCCACCTGAGCTATAAATCTTCGCCACCATTTCATAAAGGAAGGCAGTTTACTGATATGAGGAATTTAACAATAAATTTAATAAACAATTAATTTTCCTTTCTTTAGGTTTCGGAAGAAACTCTTTGTTGCAATAATGTAGTTTTTTCTCATTTACTTCTAAGATGTGGAAACAATTATTTAGAAGTGTAATCGAAACCCCAGTGAAACAAATAACGCATGAGCGAGAAACCAACTGTCAAATTGATGCACCACTGATGTGCACTAAGCATTCGAACATCAATATCACTGTGAACTTCTAATAATTGCCGTTAACATCCAACGATTCGCTAAAGCGATAGGGATCCACAAAATAAACCAAAAAATTGGGGAGACAAACTTTTGATAATTTAATAAAGTAATCAGCCCTTTATGACTCAAATTCTACCAACAAATCTCAATAAAATTTTTAAAGCAAATCTCCTAAACCTAGATTGAATTAAGTCCAAATTATATTCACTCAGAATAAGAATGTACTAGATATAACATACTTTATGGTTTAAGGAATTTAATTACATGTAATGCTTATATAGCCAAAAGATAACAATCAACTCCTTGTTTAAAGCCTAACAAGCGATATAATCTTTAATCATTCAATAATATTCATGTAGTGAATTATGAAAACAGTCTGTAAAAATTATCCTCTTTAATAATACGAAAGTCTGAAATATTTTCTTGAGGGAGCAGTACATTATAAATACAGAACCCAAATTGATCCAAATTCCCAATATATGTAGAAAGAATCATACACTTTACTGGAGTCTGTTTCAACTAAACCACCTTCGTTGTTTTCGTTAACTTTGTGGAGTCTGATATAAATCATCGTACCCATAATTATAGAACGTTTATCTCTAAAAGGAAAATGTTTGTCCACTAGCTCGTACCGAAATGCGAAACGACAAGAGAGAAATTGGTATTTAAGAAGCAGAGTAGGAATCTTAATGGCAGGAAGTAGGTCAGTAGGAACTTATGATATTGAAGGATAGAGCGTGGAATCACAAGTGACTGTAAATAGGTCTATTAATAAATCCTAAAACGGTTCGCAATAATATATTAACAATGTAGTAGTTTAAGTTGGACTACAAATGACGGACTTCTGTATGGTTTAAATTAAATAAAGTGGATTTAGGTTTTAAAGGACATGACCCAGTAATTCACGTTGATTTTGAGATTGAGAGATAAATCAATAGAAGGATAAACCGTAGCACAGACGTCTGTGGATCTTATCTTTTATCAATAGGGTATGAAATCCATTGACTTCGATCTGAGCAGTCAAATCAATTCAACAGATCTAGTAGGTGGGGCTATTAAACGTTCCATTGCTATAAAATAAAAAACTGCTCCACCTATCATGTAAAAATAGAGATTATAGTAACAGACGATCAACAGAATAGGGAAAAAAGTCAATTTGTATTCAATAAATTCATATTTTGTACACATTAAAATAAAGTAGGGCATAAGAATTAAGCGAAACAAATTTCTTAAATGAATTAATCAATTACCTAAGCGGTTTTTTACCGAAACTTTTTGCATACGACTCTGACTAAGTACACCTTCGGTGTGTGGAGAAAGAAGGCTATTTAGAGAACATGAAGACATCGATTCATTGTTAAATTTAGGAGGTTGAGTTCGTGACTTCTTCAAAATTCCTTGGTAAGAGAGTTGATCATTTGGTTGTATAGTAGTTGATGGAGCACTTAAACGACTAAATACCGTATCAGAGGCCTGTGTACACAATGATAATTAAATTAATAACAATAAAGATAAATGGGATATGAAAAAAAGGAATTTAAGTTAAAAAATAAAATACAATGACTAGAGTATGATTTCTAACTGTCTTTATATGCCTTCGAATGAGCTAATATTGCCTCGGATGAGGAGACTGAAGTATTCCTAACAGAAAGCTTTCATGACTGTGAGTTGACAACTGCATCTAAAAATATATTACCTAATACCTTCATATAATTTGTAATGGTTTTCTGACATAATCGTACACAAGCCTGGTGCAAACTGGTAATGAATATCAGCTTCTAAAAAAATAAATAGTGGTTTAGTAGTTGAAAAACATGTCATTCAAACACAAAACCGAACACTGAAACTCCACCTTATTAACTCCAGTTTGACAAACGTGTATTATTATTACCCTTCACTTAAAGCATGTCAAAAACTCGAGAGGTTAAAATGAAGGTTTTTTTGATTAAATGTACTGACTTGAGATCAGTAGTTAATTGATGATTAAAACAAAATCATTTATTACAGCGAGAGAACCAACAATCAAAAATTACCGTCTCCTGTTACTGAGACAAAGATATGAATTTTTGCACACTAGTGAGACACAGATAATGAATACTTACATGTCGTTTAAGGGGTGTTCTTAATTTAACAGACTGATCAAGGCTTTTTGTAAGACCGCTAACTTGTTTAACAACTTTAAAATTCAAAGAATCCTCTGGTGAGTTCATAATAGTTTCTGCAACAGATGGTGAAGGACGAAAAGGTGATCCAAGACTATTGTCATTTAAATTCCAACGAATAAAGCGTTGCATTGCAGCAGATGGATCTGTCGTTTTTTTTATAAGTACACTTGTAGGTGAATCCTCTCTATTTACAGTATTACCTAAACGACTGAATACTGAATCACTAGATGTGGAACCATGTGTATTTGATCTAATATTTAAAGTGAAAGTAAACAAAAAAAAATTGTTTAAGAACAATGTTACAAATATAAATAACAGAAAAACAAAATTGACAATTGAAAAGCTACGATAAAGCATGAACCTCACGTACGAAATACTGAATGGGACAGAAAATAAATACTCCAATTGAAATAGTCTTATGTATCGTTTAGCACATTTGACAGCGTAGGATAATAAGTATAAGGCTCTCAAATGCCCTGGTACAGGAGGTGGGAAGAGTCCACCCACCCTCCGAAATGCTCTGATATGATTATGCGTATACAGCCACTACCAGGGAACTCCTACTCACTGTCTTGCTTACGAACTCGAGAGGACGAAAAGTGGTTGTTCAGCGACTTAACCGAGTTGGTAAGAATGGAGGATCCACCTAGCAGAGTTTGGAAACCGAAACCAATGTAACACATGGTCTCACTAATCTTGAGGGAATAAATGGCGTATGAATATACTGTTGATCACCGGCTACCATGAGACTACATTTCCTGACGCTACTTCACTGCCTTGTGGATTAGACCTTTAGGTCAAAGGCTGGAGGGATGGCATGAGAGTGACGTGGAATCACAAAGGTAAGTTAAAAATATTAAGTAAAATGGTATTTATTCATCAAAACAATCAATTTCAACTCTTTAAATTTGATTATATCATTGTCGTTTTTCTTCAACTGGTGGCTGACTGATTTCAATTCAGATATTTCTTTACTACCATTAATCTGTTTCCAGTTGTTTCGTTCTATAATCATCTAATGTTTGTTAACTCCACGAGTTCTAATCACTAATTCAATGTTCAGGAAGTTTCCTTCCCAAGCTTTATCTGAAACAAAATTTTTATGACCATGTTAACTCTATTGAAATCTTCGTTACATCATGATACATATATTCATCTTTAATTAACGTCGTAGGTATAGATATGCAAATATCTGTAATAACATTGATTTTAAAATATTATAAGTTGTACACGGCTGATGAGAACTTGACGAAATAAAGTGAATTCATATATTATTCTGTATCAATCTTCGTTCTTGCTCTCTTCAAGAAAATAAAGGGAACTATGTGTATGAAATTTCCCAAAATAACACACTGTACAACGTAACACCAACTAAAAGCATTGGAACCTCAATAAAATCCTGACAATGATAACATATTTTTGTCTAGAGTTTTTTAAAATCCCGATTACAACTTTAACGTAAAATATATGAACGATAGAAAAGTAAATTAAAGTTAACTACTTAGAGATGATAACACGATAATTATCACAATCATCGACATCGCTGTCTTCGAAGGTAGACGATACAGGAGGTTCATTAGTTTTGGCGGCTTTGGCAACTTCAGATTGACTAGACTTTGCACTGTCTAAAATAATGTACAAGAAATTCAAATAAAAACAATAGAATACTATGTAACATATACAGATGTTACTCGATATAAAGTCGTCACAATAAATATCCATTTAAGGACGTAGCATGAAAGCGTACAAACTATTATACAAGTCGAACTAGACCCTTCTAGCCATACACATAAACTAATCTATCTATACGCAGAACTGACGAGTATATGTTTATGTATCCAGATGTACAAACCAAAGTAGACGAAGTGGAATTTGAACCATCAAACCAATGACTCGGTGGGGTTCCTTAACTATTAATTCATTTCCCTAATACAAAAATGTTAAAGAAATCCATCTGTAATAAGAATACAAAACTTTTCAGTGTCTAATAGAAATTTCCTGATAATTTCAACAAACTGATAAGTACCATGAACTACAATAACTATGCTTAATGAATATCTACACTTCTAACATGGTAACTTAGATAGCATGAGATGTAACCAATCTATAATTATGAGTACACTTTCACTACTTACTTACACCTGCTATGCCTCATGGAGGAGCATAGGACGCCCACCAGCATTTTCCATCCAACCCTGTTCTGGTCAATCCTTTCCAGTTGTTATTCATCCTTCTCATGTCTACTTCCAATTCTCGACGCACTGTGTTCTTCGACCTTTATCTTTTCCATTTCCCTTCATGATTCCAGGTCAGCGCTTGCCCCTTGATTCAGTTTGATGATTTCCGAAATGTGTGTCCTATCCACATCCAGAGTCCTTTGCTGATTTTCTTTTCATCTGAGAGTTGGTTTGTTCTCTCCCACATTAGGCTGTTGCTGATGGCATCCAGTCAACGAACAGTAAGTACCTTACGCAGACAATTGTTTATGAACCTCCGTACTTTTTCAATTGTGGTTGTAGTTCTCCAAGTTTCATTTCCGTACAGTAAGACTGTCTTGGCGTTTGTATAGAAGATTCTGACTTTCATGTTGGTTGACAGTTCTTCAATTCTACGAATGTGGCCCTTACTTTGTCTATCCTCGCATTCACCTCTGCATCGGATCCTCCTTGCTTATCAATGATGCTGGCCAGGTATGTAAAATTTTACACCTGCTCCAGAGCTTCTAAATCAAATGTGATTTGGTTGGTGTTCTCTGTATTGTATTTAAGGATCTTGCATTTTCCCTTGTGTATGTTAAAACTCACTGATTGGACGCTGCTGCTATACTGGCCATCCTCATCCACTTTCGTCGCTGTGTATGGAATAGAAGAGCCAGGTCATCTGCGAAGTCCAAGTCGTCTAGTTGCTTGCAAGCTGTCCATTGTATTCCGTACTTACCTTGATATGTGGTGGTCTTCATAATCCAGTCAACCACCAGAAGAAAGAAAAAGGGCGACAGTAGACAGTCTTGTCTGACACCGTTCTTCACTTCGAAAGCATCTGTCAGCTGGTGTGCATGAACGACTTCGCAGTGTAGTTCGTCGTATGAATTCCGGATCATATTGAAGATGTTCTCAAATACACCATAGTGTCGAAGAAGATTGTATAAAGTCCTCCTATCCACACTGTCGAACACTTTCTCATCGTCAAGGAAGTTGATATAAAGTGACAATTTCCATTCAATTGATTGTTCAACGATGATCCGTAGAGTCGTGATTTGGTTTATGCATACTCGATTCTTACGAAATCCAGCCTGTTGATCTCGAAGCTGGACTTCTACTGAATCTTTCATCCGGTTCAGCAACACAACTGAAAGTTCCTCCCGGTAGTGTGATTCATATATAGTTCTCACATTTACAAAAATCTCCTTTCTTTGGTATCCTAATGAGGTGATACTTTCATTAGGATATAACTTAATTTTATTCCGTCATCTTGTGAATTGATTTGACTTGGAAAACAAGTAAGGTACCAGTAGATAAGTCAAATCATCTCACTATATATATATATATATATATATATATATATATATATATATATATATATATATATATATAAACATACTCTTTTGCTTCATGGATGCAAGAATTTTCTGGGTCTTTAAAGTCGTCCCCTTGGGCATTTTAACAATATATTTTCCTTCAACCTCAGGATTCATTCGACGACGCACTGGGACTAAAACGCCGACATCTAAATCTAAAACTAAGTTAACATATAATTAAATACTTTTGGACGCAGCTTTTTTATTTTCAGATGAGCAATCTTTCGACGTTGTTGAAGTGACAACAGGAGTTGGTGCAACTGATAACTTAAACAAAATAACTTCGAGGAAAATAGACAACTTGCCTCGTGTCTTATTTTTTTGCATTGCTTCAGTATGGAAATAATATCTCCAATAACTGTGATCCCCATATCTTTCAAGTGGTCCTTATCTAAATCAGCAAGGACTGAATTGTTAATTCGATGTTCAACAAAAATTCCAGCATATGTTTCCCTTAGTTTGGCTGGAACACCAGCAGCCTCAAAAAATTCAACCCATTCGCATAGGTCTAAAGAATTGATAAATAACGTAAAAACAATTTAGTGTAAATATACCGCTAAACAATATGAAATTTAGAGACAATAGCCTTTGATCACACTAGTTAATGTATGGTTGGTGTGAATAGTGACTAGATAATCTGGCAAGCTAAACGAAAACAACTTACAGAAAATTTTGTCTAAACTAAACAATTAGTCCCACCTAGTATTTCATTTGTGAGCTCCATACAAATGATTTTATGCATAAAATTACTATTAACATAATTGTGAGAGAATAAAACGACTAAAAGGAACGTAATTTTTTCAATGTTAGGAGTTTGAAAAGAATTACTAAGATGTCTTAAACCTAAGCTTTACGTGGCTTGTGTTCAAGTAACACTAACTATCATGACCAAAAGGAATGATGGAACTTCATCAAACAGGTATTCAGATACTGCGAAATAACCTGATTCAGACTGTTTTTAAAATTAATAAGATAAGAATGGCACCGTTGACAACCTTCGTATCGCATGATACGCCAATGAATGACTCATGCACTAGCCTTTCAAAAGTGGAATAGCTTTGGAGATATGTCAAGTTATTATCTACCCATACGTTATGCGATTTGACAATCAGAGCTTTACTCCCCATTAACTACAGCGAATTCAGAGTACCAATAGTGAAAAACAGAAGTACATCCCAATAAAGCATACTCTACTGGTACTTTTTCCAAAAATTATCGGTAAAGTGACTCGAGTCATTTAGAAAAGTACATAATATCATCTGTGCACACTTGAGTACTGAACTAGAAAAAATTCATCACACCACGTCAACGTAAGTTAAGAAGTTCATCGCTTTATTGTAAAGAAAACTTAAGAGCAGCAAAATATTGTTGAGCAAAAAAATTGAACCGGTGGGAACGTTGAAACTGCTTATAACTTCACAACGAAAGTCTGTATCATCACACCAATATTATCACATTGAAGACCATGATGAGCACTAGGTGATACAGTATAATGAGGTTCCAGACCCAAAAGCAATCATAATCAACCCAATTAAACACCCCGAAAATAAACCACATTATGTAGCGCTTACCTTTCATTTTTGGCGGTTAATTAAAACAAAACATCAGGGTGGTATAAGAGAAAAAGCAGGGTCACCTAAGAATTCATATTATTAAAAATTTCGAGTGCGAGGGAATTTTGGGTTTCTCACAAACAGGCGGGAAGTTCAGATCTCCGGATTTGGAGTGCCTGTGAGTTACTGCGTGATCGTTGTGAATTATGTCAAGTAGTGATGTCTCAATTTATGTTTGTGTAGTCTCGACTTTTTTTAATATGTTATGTCGTCTTTCTTCAGCTGTTGTTAAACGAAAAGTTGTGATGACGACGAAGCAATCTGCACTTATGTTAAATTACAATATCGACCAGTTAAGATCTAATAGTGATGAAGCTCCTACGAATTTCAACTATTTCCAGTAAGATCTTTGAAATCAAGCCAGTTTCGGCTTCATCATATAGTAAAGGCTAACATATCTTTTGGCCAAGTTTATCGTTTATTCTGTAACCATACTCGTAGTGGCCTGAAAGCCTCTTTAAAATATGGAATCTAAACAAATACTATTCAGGATTCGCATGCTGTCTGGCTCATTTTGACTATGGAGAACCACACTGCAGTCCCAAAGACAAACTCTTATTTATGTATCTAATCTTTTCCAATTGACAACGGACTATGTTCCACTTATTATCAGTTCTTGATCACCTCGCTACTGTATCTGAGCCACTGTTCGTTCATATTTTCTCAGTACTCATATCACCCTATTTCAACTGATTTTCAGTTGTTATTTTGTGGTAATCTAAACCGCTAGTCGTCTTATATTTGTTGTTCTTCACTGTCTGTTTCTGCAAATGTTCCCGTCTAGCTCTACACAACTGCTAAAACTTCACTGGTCAGTTCCATATATCTTCAGGGATATTTCGCTCCTAAAGTTCATAAACCCTCGAATATTTGCACAAGTTATATCGTCAGTAGTTATTTAAGACAGTATAAATGTTAATAATAGTTGCTCCTTTTAGTACCAGTACAATGAGCAGAAATCCAAAACAAGATCACGATGGGAATACTAACTCCAACTGTGGTAGAAAGAAATGAAAGTCGTTGAGTACAATCACGTAGTGTTCAAGATTGTGTCGTTACATCGACAACTTGAATTAACCCACACATGTTCCAAATCGTACATTGATTATGACTGACTACTAAACAGTACAATGATTTATGTACACGTACTTCATGTCCCAACTTGACAATCTAGTAAATTCCTATGATTTAATGAACTAACTTGTTACTATTCTCATAAGATATCGTTGAGTTCACTGTCTGTATTTAATGCTTATCTTTCTAAATGGCCGTTTGATCAAACTAAGACAATAGTTTTCTCCTATGTTTGTACTCGTTTTTATGCACTATTTTTGTATCTTTCCTGTCAGTTAGCAATATTTAGACTAGTCCTTTACCCTCATCAAGTCAATACTTACAGAAATACTATGCAAGGTGCTATTGGGTTTGACGCATAGCTCCCAAAGCATTCGTTTTAAAGTGTTTAATCTTAACATAAACTTTCCGTTTATTTACTTTGGTCTTGTTAGAGTGCTTTTATGCAGCCAAATTCTACAAAAACAATATATTCGACGAATTCGAACAAATAGATAAACAATGAACAGACTTGGTAAAGTTTACTCAAAACGAAACATCTTTAGTGTTGTTACCTAAAAATTCAGATACTTTAAGTTTTTTGACCGATTGAATAGAATACTTTTCAGAGACTAAATGAAATGTTCGTTGTACGATTGCCATTATGTATGCATACTTTAGAACCCAAAACAGTAACGATCTAGTTTATGTTCCTTTCCTGTCTGCAATAGACAAGATACCAGACTACAACAAACTAGTGATTTTTGAAGAGATGAGTCAACAGTTTTAGCAATTGGCGGTTGTCTATTTCACCTCGTTTTAACACGCCGTCCCCCCTACTTCCGTTCAGACATCCCCATAGTATCGCTTTTCTTTACAATAAGTGTGTGCCATAGACGGTAACTTGGCTACCGGGATTTGTAAATTGTCGTTATAAAATATTCCCAGTTCCCCCCAACTATTATAATCAATCTAATATTCTATACAGTCATACTGTACATTTTTCGAAAAGCTTCTAGAGTACCACTACCATACCAACTTCTGTATTTATTTTATTACTTTTCTATGCCCCACAGGATGTATTTACTAGTTACCCTATTTTCTGTGAAGGATTAATTATCAAATTTCGACTATAAATTCATGGAAGGTGGTCAGCCGGTCGCTGAAGTTCGTTCATATTCACCTAATAAATGTGGTGAAGTGGTTAACGGCAGTATGCACTCAAGTTCAACGTCGGACTCAGACTACGAATACCGCAAGAGGAATAGCTATTGTCTTAGTTGTCAAAGAAGACCTAAAGCATCATTGAAATTTATATTAACTATATGGTACTCTCCAGAGACTAGTTCGGCTATAGCCGGTAAGTCCTTTTCGTGTTGAAGTGTACTGGTTTATTTATAATATGAATTTTAGTACAATAAAGCACTCAAAAGTATGTCATACAAAATCCAATAATAACATCAAGAAAAAAAATGAAAAAAAATAGCTTGTAGGTCACTCATTATCCATTCACTTAAGGCCTGATTAATAGGCTTGGTTCTTCGGCACCTTATCCCTACTGGGAGTTTACAATCTTTCAGTCAAACACTCGTAAGTACGGCTTGGAGAGAATACGTCTCATCCGTGCATTGTTTACCCATATTTTACCAAAGATATCACCATAAGTTTGCTCTGATTTTTCACTACGAATAGTTTAATTACACCATTCCCACTACTGCCAGCAATTACACAACTATCCAGATATGCATACTTCCTGACGGCTTCCAGTGACTATTGTAACAACCTCTGACAATGGAAGTACACTGCAACTAAGTTCATATATTATTATTCTAGCTATTGTCTTTTCATGACTTCTGAATTCTGTTTTTTCCCAACGTTACTGACATAATCATTCTGAGGGTGGAAAATTTTTGACTAGCTTTTGTCAGCATCCCTACATATTTTTCCTAACAATAAACCCGTCATTTTATGAGGCTTTGCTAATATTGGTAGTCATAACGTACAATGGAAGCTTCCAATATTCTGAATACTTTTTCCATTGAGACGAACGTTTCTTCTCGAGACAAAAGAGATGGAAAAGGTGGCGTCTGTAGGGAACACAAGACAGCTCTACAGACTAATAAAAAGACGACACCAAACGTTTAGAACGATGGGCGGGACATTTTAGAGAACAGTTCAGCTGGCCTTCAGCTACTCTACAACTACCCCCCATTCCCAGACAGTGTGAATAGAAGATTGAAGTAGGTCCCCCAACTCTAGCAGAAGTTCAAAAGGCTATAGTTAATCTGAAACGAGAAAGGTCAGCTGGTCCAGATGGATTGGCTTCAGAGGTTTTTAAGCATGTTTGTCCCATTTTAGCGATTAGGTTGACCAATATTTCAGCTAAGATCTGAGAGTTAGACGCTATTCCATCTGACTGGTCACAATCACTTATCGTCCCAATATATAAAAGAGGGTTAAAATCATCCTGTGACAACCATAGAGGGATTAGTTTAACTAATATAGTATCTAAAGTACTAGCCTCGATAATTATCAAACGCTTAACTAAGACTCGTGAACTGCAAACACGAGAGAATCAAGCTGGCTCCAGACCTGGTCGTGGCTGCATCGATCACATATTCACTATTCGTCAGGTTCTAGAACATAGGCATACTTATCGGTGTCCGACAGTGGTGGTCTTTCTTGACCTAAAAGCAGCATTTGACTCGGTAGACCGCGAGATCCTGTGGCAGTGTCTATCATTGAAAGGCGTACCTCAGAAGTACATAAACCTTGTGAAGGCTCTTTACTCGAACACTACCAGTCGAGTCAGAGCTTATGGCGAACTGTCATCTACTTTTGCAACCTCAAGTGGTGTCTGTCAAGGCTGTCCACTTTCTCCACTTTTGTTGAACTTCATCATGGACCTACTGATGGAAATAACATTCTCGTCTACTGAATTCTCGGGCATTGATCTCCTTCCAGGAGGTCCACTTATCGACTTAGAATACGCAGATGACATAGTCCTGTTTGGGGAAGACGCTGATAAAATGCAGAGTCTTTTAGTAGCACTAAGCAACAATGCCAGAATGTTTGGAATGCGTTTCTCTCCCTCTAAATGCAAGTTGTTGCTTCAGGACTGGTCTGCGTCAACACCTGGAGTAAGGATAGGGAGTGAAGTAGTCGAACGCGTTGACAACTTATTAGGTATTATGGAATGATGCTAAATCAGTCGATGAGGTTGTGAATCTTCATCGACTGAGATGGTTAGGCCACGTGTTACGTATGCCTGAACACCGATTACCATGACGTGCAATGCTAACCGGTGTTCGGGATGGTTGGAAGAAAGTTAGGGGCGGCCAAACCAAAACGTGGCATCAGTGCTTGAAGTCACTAACTTCTAGTCTGAGCCATGTTGATAGATGCAGACTACTTGGTTGGGGTCCGCGTGACTATCGTAACCAATGGTTGGAGACTCTTGGTGACATGGCCCAGAGTCGATCACAATGGCGTCGGTGTATACACTCTCTATCTTCCCTTAAACTAAGAAATTAAAATCGCTTCATATATTTCCTTCTACGAACTAACTCTTTCTTCCTGTACTATATCCTTATTGCAGTCTTTCTTTTATATATTGCCACCTCTCAATTAACTACTTTTATGAATCCGGTGTCCATCTTGTTGTGTTAATGAGGTATGGCAACTTGGACCGATGCATATATGTGCCTGGTCCTACGTTGTAGCTGACTGACTGACTCTCGAGACATGACGTTAATAGTCGCGAACTATATGTAATTCGTTGCTTACTTCATATAAAGTTTCCTTCAGAGCTTACCTACACAGTGAAAAAACGCATTAAAACAACCAACCGTTCTTTCAACCAGATTATTATTTTACATTTTTGTCAGGTTTTGTTCCTTTATTTGAGAATAA